CCTACATCTCCATTATTTCTTCCATCACGAAGCATCCAATTAGTTTCAGCCGACAATCTTCTAGTATTGTTGCCCTCCATATGGATTAGACAAGTTTAGATTTAGGAAACAATGGCCCCCATCCTCATCAAATCTGAGACAAACTGGGCACCTTGTGTCCAATTCTATTCCTCTATGTTTAATTTTCATTCTCAGCGGCAAGCTGTTGTTTGTTAATCGCCAAAGAAAATGCAGAATCTTACCAGGCATAGCCAGGGACCAGATTTTCTTCCAGAGTAAGCTTTCATAATTTGTGCCGCCATTGGATGTTATGCAATACCATAAACCGATTTCCTTGCCTTACAATTCTGGATGACTCGGTACGTAGATTTGACAGAGAATGCCCCCCTTTTGTCAAAATGGCATACTGATATGTCTTCAAAGTCTTCATGTATTGGGATCTGTAGGGTAACTTTGACATCATCTTCATTGAATATCTGTTGGAGAAGTTGTGTATCCGAAGTTCCTGAAATGGGATTTATCAATCCACTTACTTTAGTGACAAGATTGTTCCCTCTTTGAGAGGTGACTTTTCTAGTGATGCCCCTTGGTAGCCATGGATCTGTCCATATGTTTATATTATCACCATCTCCTACTCTCCATATGATCCCATTTTTTAGCACTTGAACCCCTTTTAGAATGCTTCTCCAGCAGTAAGATATACCATTTTTTGGCTCAACACATAACATATTCTTATTTGGGAAGTATTTTGCAGAAAGGACTTGGGTACAAAGAGAGTAAGGGTTCTGTAGGATTCTCCATGCTTTCCTTCCCAACATGGCTAGATTGAAAGAGTATAAATCTCTAAATCCCAGTCCTCCGTCTTTTTTTGGTTTTGTCGACCCATCCAATCCAATGGATATTGTTCTCTTTATCCATTTGACTCTACCAGTATCTTCCAATCATTGAACTAATATCATCACAAAGTGATTTGGTGAGATCAAAGCATGCCATGGCATATACAGGGATGGCTTGTGTTGCTGCCTTGATGAGAATCTCTTTTCCAGCCTTTGATAGCATTTTTTCCTTTCACCCTTGTATTTTCCTCCACACCTTCTCCTTGATGTATTCAAATGCCTTCTTTTTTGATTTTCCAATATATACCGGCAGACCCGAATTTTTTCCTAAGAAACCTTCAACAGAAATGTTCAATTTGTCCATCATCTTCTTTCTATCCTCTTTTGTAGTTTTTTTGCTGAACACGATAGATGACTTCTCCAAAGAGAATATTATTAACGGTGAGCTAGCGTGTTTGGATCCAATATTGTTTTTTTTATGAAGCGGCTAGAGCACTGCCTTTTCATATAGAAGATAACAGAACCCTAGTATTTGCACAAAGGACCGTCAGCCAAGAGAAAAATTTACAATCAATATTGATGAACCCCGTGCGCATGAACTCCACCGCAGTAGCCACCAAATAAAAAATGTGGTGAATCACCTCTTCACCCGAACTCGATGCGGCTCCATTGCCGATATGCACCTTTGCGGACCTCCAAAGTGGTTTACCAAAGGCCATTGAAGATTTGGCCGGGGAAGCACCCATGACATGCCATCGAACTCTAGATCTGACACCCCCGCGTGAGTAAAAGCTGGAGGAGGAAACCATACCTACTACCAACCACGATCCCAGCACATGATCCACCTTCCAGATGCCGTCGATGCAGACTACTATTTGTATCCGCTCCTGAACTACCTCCCAAGCTCCACGCCGACGACGGAGTGGGCGGCGCCGCAAAGGTGGAGCCGAGGACACAAGTCCATCATAAAGATGCCGTCGTCGCTGCAGCATCTCCTCTTAAAAAAGACTAGTTCTCAAATCCATTACCGACCATAAGTTGATTACTTCATCGGGAAAGGATCTGGAGCTTCTTTATTTGGCGCCGTCGTTGGCGCCGCCGAAGCCAAGTTGCCGAACGACCCAAAAGCTAAGCTACTAGGCCGTAGAACCTAAAGCTACACGATCCGCACGCGCGGGGTCTAGCAACCCCCCTCACCACCAACGACCCTAGAGATCGTTGGGAGAGAGGAACCGTCGGAAACGACACCGAAAGGTTGGACTCCCCTGGTGGTGGCTAGGGTTTCTAGGCCGGTTTGGAGAAGAAAACTTTTCACATCTATCTGCGTTCCCCACAATCATAATCTGAGCATTCATGTTTATTCATCAAAGCCACCATTCAGACAGTATTACTTGTATTGCTTCCGATACATTGTGAAAATTGACAAACTTCCTTGTTTGCAACACAAATTTGATGCACCAGAAGGCATACTACGTGGGCATGTAGGATCAACCTGGCTCTCGGGCTCATTTGAACCACCACCGATTTGTCGTCCGCCGTGGTGAGCCAGTGCTGCGGTGCTACCTGGGCATGTAGGATCGACCGGGCCTTCACCGCCATGGACGAGAGTATGTTGTATGCTAGAGCGGCCGCCATGGACAAGTGGGAATGGGCTGGATGCTTTGAGATTGTGATGTCCACGTGTTGTGCATCCGAGCGGGAGAGTTAGACCCGGTCTCGTAGATTTTTTCCCCCTCGCTCGCCTCCTAGCTCACGAACCACAGCGCCGCCATGTTCTCTCCGCCGGCGCAGCCCAGATTCGACCCCCTGCGCCCCACCTCACCGACGAGCTAATCATTCGTCGTTCCTCCTTGTTATCTACGACAACGCCGCCCAGGTGCGACCCCCTGCAGCGCCCCATCCGATGCGCCCCCCGGTCCAGTACGCCGGTGCGTCACCCGGGAATTAGGTGGCCGCAGCCACCATCACCACCCCGCTTCTTGCCTCACCAGTCTGCCCGGAGGATCAACCGCTTGCCGGCTACTGAAGTAAGAACAGTCAGTGGCTGCTCCTTTTCTTCGGTCCCCCAGTTTTTAGTTTCTGCAAAGCAAGTTGGTTTCTATTCTGCCCAGTATTCAATGATAGATATGTTCATATCCTATTGAATATCAAATGTTGTTGGCTGTGAAATCGAAGTGTCTATTGTGTATTAGAACACTAAATCATCAACTAATTTAGGTGTATTTGAATCTTAGACAACACTAATTTGCATACCCATGTTGGTGGCAATCATCCTTCCGTTATGTTTTCAGATTTCCATGCTTCCAACAAAGATGAGTTAGTTCAGGTAACACTCTTCTTATGCTTCCTACTTATGGAGCTTCCAAATTACACTGACTATATATCAGTGGTGGAGGACGGAAAAAAATTAAGGTGGGGCGGACTCTAAACCATAAAAGAATTCGATGTAAAATTAAAGTTGTCGTATACGTCTGTTTGTTTGCGTGGCCACGTTGGGCCGTGGTTTTCATTCACATGGATAGAAAATAGACGCGGGTGGACGAAATGTGTCGGCCGTTGGAGTTGCACTGATGACTTGGTGTTGTGTGCTTTTTTATTTATTTGAGGGTACTTGGTGTCGTGCGTGTGCAGGAAAGGAACAAAGATGTCGATGATTGGATTGAGCGTTAGCTGCTGACTGCCTCTGGCTCACAGCCCAAATTTTCATTGTGCTGCTCACGGCCCAACAATGCAATAACCACCAGGCCTTTGCAGCATGGGTTGACCTTCCCTAAATAAAACCAAAAACTAGCGACTGATGTGTGCCTAAGCCTTACTGCGATACGTACACATATACGTACCTTGCAGGAAATCGAGGTAGGGCGGGCGCCCACCCTCGCCCTACCGAGAGCTCCGCCTGTGCTATATATGGTTGGGTCTACATAGTTTGCTTCCGTTGTTCAACCATTTTTGGTGAATTTTGGAGTGTAGCTGTTAAAAATTGCATCTCCATGTCCGCGAGAATCTTTGTTAAATTTTCTATGCTTCAATTAAAATGAGCCATATTGGCATTGCACATTTTCATGCTTCCTACTCATGGGGCTTCTAAATTGTACTTGTTCGGTGTCCATAGATTGCTTCCATATTTCCTACTTCCTTTACAAAATTGTCGAATTTCAGATATGTATAATGCAGCCAATTTATCCTCTTAATTTGGAGCGGTAGGTTCTATTTTATTCTAATTGTATGTGTTGATATTATGATTGCCCCCCTTCTTTCAGTGTGTGTAGGCTAGCAAAAGTACCAATTTCAATTGATGAAATTAGTTTGTAATCACAAAATGATGCACACACATGTTGCCGCTAGGCATTGCTAACTTCAGTTTCAAAATGTTATGCTTACACTAGGCATGGGTATGTTATAGCATGAAACTGATGCTTTGTGTATCCATGCTTCTGAAGTTTATTGAATGTGTTGTTCATTCCAGATAGTTTGCTGCAATGGAACATGCTTCTACTTTTTTCTGTACTTGTTACGTTTCATATGTGTGTGTGTGTGTGTGTATTGCATATACTGCAAGTTCACACCTTTCAGATTTCTTTGTTTCCAATTGTGAAGTCAGGTTGCCATGCTACAAACTATTTTATTTCTTGGAGAAGTTCTATAGTAGTGATTATTCCATGCCTTGAAAGCTAACTACATATGCTTCTACTGTGTAGGTAGTTTGCTAGTTTGCTTTCATGGTTCCTGCTTCCGTAGTCTGATCCCTAGCGGTTCCCATGCTAGTTTGCTAGTCTGATACCTAGCAGTTCCCATGCAGCCGAGCAACCCGAAGGTACCGCGTTTCTTCTTTGCTCACTAAATCAGCCTCCTTTCCCTGCATTTCTGTTGGAATCCGACGTCTCACTGGGTCAAATTACTAGGGTTCTTGCTCTCGATTTCCGCAACCGGAGTTACCTGCTTACAGTTCTCGGTGAAGTTATTGAAGCATCGGGTTTGTTGCTTCCCCACAGAAGGTGTAGTGGCATCATAGAACCAGAGGGAGAGAGACCTGGAGTTGTTTTCTGGTTTTTGGGTTGGACATCAGAGAGTGGCAGCTGCTGCTGGTTGGTTTCTTGGTTCTTGATTTGCTTCTGTGGTGGAGACTGGCTAAGAAGACGAGGGAGGGTATTGAGGGCAAGGGTAATGGAGGTTGGGGGGCAGGCGATGATGGAGCCCCAGGGGGTGGAACTCGAGGATGACAGCATCAATTTCTGGGCCTCCCTTGGCGTGAGCACCCATGTCCATGGCGTTGACCAGATGGCGCTCCACAATGTGCACATTCTTGACCACCAAGGACAGTCACTGCCACCGGCGGTGGTCTCACACCCAGAGTCTGTCTGTAAGGAGTTGTTCCCTGTTGAAGTCGACCCATGCCTTGAGCCCCGGGTGGGGATGGAATTCGAGTCGGGCGAGGCTGCCAAGACCTTCTATATTGCTTATGCTGGCCGTGTTGGGTTTTCGGTCCGCATTGCTCGGTCCCGTAAGTCCAAGTGCAGTGAGTCCATCATCATGCTAAGGTTTGTCTGCTCAAGGGAAGGGTTCAGCAAGGAGAAGCGTGTTGTTGCAGGGAAGAAGACAAGGAAGAGGCTAGCCTCCATCAGGGAAGGCTGCAACGCCATGCTTGAGGTGCTTCGCAGAGGCGACAACAAGTGGGTTGCCACCAAGCTTGTCAAGGAGCATAACCATGAGGTTGGGATGCCCAGCACAGTGCACTATATAGCCACTGAGAGCGATACTATGGTTGACCCATACATTGACATGGAGTTTGAATCCCTTGAGTCTGCCAAGACATTCTACTACTCGTATGCTATCCGTGCGGGATTTGAAGTTCGCGTGCGCCAGTCTCGAAAATCACAAGATGAGTCACTCAAGATGCTAAAGCTTGTGTGCTCAAGGCACCGTTACCATTCAGGACGGGAGAACAATGGAGACGATACCAAGAGAGATCCCTCCAGAGACGGTTGTAGTGCACTGTTTGAGATAATTCGGAAGGACAAAGGTATCTGGAGGGTCTCCAAACTCATCCTAGAGCACACTCATGAGCTGAACCCTGCACCAGCAAGCAGCGTTTGTTGTGTCCGCTCACAAGGTGAGATACTTGTCATTGCAAAGAACTTTGCTGACACACGAAATCTTCTATTGAATGGCCAAGATTCTCAGCCTCGTAGAGAGATCCGGTATAATGATCTGGGGCCAGAGGATGCTCAAAGCCTACTTGAATATCTTAAAAAGGTACAGGCTGAGGACCCTGCATTTTTCTATGCTGTGCAGCTTGACAAGAATGAGGACACGGTCAATATCTTCTGGGCTGACGCGAGTGCTAGGATGGCTTATTACCATTTTGGTGACGCTGTTAAGTTTGAGACAGCATACAGGAGCAACAAGGAGCATATACCTATTGTCATATTTTCAGGTGTCAATCATCATGTGCAGCCTGTTATTTTTGGCTGTGCACTACTTGTTGAAGAATCTGAAGAATCATTTGTATGGTTATTTGAGAAATGGCTTGAAGCAATGCATGCGAGGCCTCCTGTTTCTTTCGTAACAGAGCTGAACCAAGAGATGGCAGCTGCAGCTGCCAAGGTATTACCTGACACCTGTCATATTTTCTGTGAAAAGCATATATTAGGCACGGTCAAGGAGGAGTTGCATAGTATTTATCCCGGACTAGACCATTTCATAACTGATCTGAGAAAGTGCATTGATGGATGTAGAATAGAAGAATCATTTGAATCATGTTGGGAATCAGTTCTCATGAAACATGGCTTTAGAAATAATGAACATTTACAGTCTCTTTATGATATTCGCAAACGATGGGCCCCTGCATACACAAAGCAATCATTTCATGCCAGAAACCTGCTTGCACAAAGCTGTGAAAATCTTGAAAAGATTATAGATACATACTTCTCGTCCAAGACCCAATTACAGGTGGCTGTGCAGCAACTTGAACAAGCTATTTGTAATTTCCATGCGAAAGAAGCCCAGGCAGATTATCTGACAATGTTTCAACTACCAGCACTGAGGACTGCTTCACCAGTGGAGAAACAAGCAGGTTTAGTATTTTCTAGGAAAGTGTTTGATATATTTCAGGAGCAATTTGCGGAGTCCTTTGGGTACCATGCAGAGAGGCTCGAGGATAGGATGCTACACAAGTACCGCCTAACAGTAGATGATGGGGACGAGGAGGCACATATTGTCTCTTTCAGTCCAGATCAAACTACAGTGTGCTGTAGTTGTTGCTTATTCGAGAGCTGTGGAATCTTGTGCAGGCATGCTCTTCGAGTTTTTATCATCGAAGGAGTGCGTTTCCTTCCAAAGGCCTATGTCTTGAAACGCTGGACAAAGCATGCAAAAAGTACTGTCACCTTGGATAACTACATTGAACTAAGGGGATACTGTGAGGATCCTTCAACTTCAAGGTACAATGATCTTTGCTATGATGCAATCAAATGTGCAAAAGAGGGCTCAACATCCACTGAGCGCTATAAAATTGCTAAAGAGGCACTATGCAAGGCTCTTGATGAAATAATGCCTACAAGGAATATTAGAGAGCAAAATTCACAAAACTGTACAACATCATTAAAAAGTCCAGTCAAGAAATTTGGGACAGCCAAAGGTACCTCTGGCAAGAGCATAAAGAGGCCAGCATTCAAAAATTCCCTTGTGGAGAGCAATGGCAATAGATGACCAGATATTGTGAATTTGAACATAATGGATTTCACCTGCTCTGACCTTGTATAGTTGTAGTATCATTCAATCTAGTAGTCTCTTACGCTGTGGCTGGCCACGGCCTTTTTCCTGTCAGTTCTAGTAACAGCAATGGTGCTAATGAATCATTTGAGACATTACTGTTCAAAAAGAATGTAGGAACATATGCCCTTCTTGGGAATTTTTTATGAATGGCACTGTAGGAAGGGCAATTTTGTTACATGGTAGTACATCCATAATTTTATACGTATCATTTGCATTACCAATGTAGCATAGCCCTATGTTAGTTGGGATTCACTTTTTTATACTAAAAGACTGTTAAATTGCGGTTGTTGTGTCTTTATTGTGGAAGTGACAGTTGTGCTACAAAAACTAACTGCCTAATCGAGTACTTATGCAGTTAAAGCACATGTACTGCTTAGGACAGGCATTTGTATGTTTGAGTTCTGTTCTTCTTTTTGATCGTTTGTATGAAATGCAGTATGTTCTCATGGACATGTGTGTTGCACATTTAGGTATCTATATCTTTTATATTGTTAAATGACGCAAGTTAATATAACCATGAGCCTATCACTATTTGATATATTCTACATTTTTTTTACTTTGGATTCTCGTCTTTTGTTGTATTTTTGTAGGCACAGGAATTAACAGTCTTGTGATAAATGGATTTTTAACTTATTCTGGTCCTAGAATGTTATTGTTTCATACTATTTCTTGTAAATTATAATCTCTAACTTCACCCAGATGATATACAAATGCCCTTATGCAGGCATGTTGGTCCTAGTAATGAGTTGTTCACGCCATGCTGTACCAGATAAAACTGCACCCTGTACAGATGGTCATAGTTGTGGTTTCAGCTGGGCAGCATAATGGCATAATTTCCTTTGATTGACCACATCATATTTTGATATCTTTGTCTGTTTCTATTTGCTGCAATTGCAAACATCCTTATTCTAGAAGGGTAGTATAGCCCTTCAGTTTGGTTTTGTTAAATACTCCCTCCATTCACAAATAGTACGATGTATATAGACGCGTTTTAGTGTGTTTGTTCACTATGTGGTCCATATTGAAGTATCCAAAACATCTTATATTTGTAAACGGAGGTAGTATATGTGTACAACTTTCTATGCATATCTAATTAGTTGCATTTAAAACTATATTCATCAATCATCACACACCCAGACTGTACTTTCCTTCACTCAATGACTACAAAGAACTTGGTCTGAATTTTCCATTTGTATATATCTCGATACCAATATTACACACGCGCGCGCGCGCACACACACACACACGCACACGCACACGCAGCTGTGTGCATTTGTGTTGGGCTAGGCAACCAAACTACTCGCTCTTGTCAGATTGTAAGATTTGGCTAACAAACTTTGTAGCCAAACAGAATACTATTGTGATGAGCCGGAGTGTTTGGGTCCAGGATTGAGACACCATTCTTGTGTATGATTTGTGCTGTATGGTCGCATGTACACATAAAGCCAAAAGGCGATGTGACAACTGATAAATCAAAAGAGGAAAAACTCCTTTTGCAATGTACGAACCAGTGTTTTTTTAGGGGATGTACGAACCAGTGTTAACATGCAAGCAACTCGTGGAGCCATTAGTACCTACTTGCAGCAGCATGCGTAGTTCGAGAGATGGTGGGCCTGGACTATTTCTTTTTAAGAAAAGGCTTAAGCCCGATTTTATAAATAAAACCAACACGGCGAAGCAATCAACAGACACAGGTTCATCGTGATACACCAATACGGGAGCTCCTAGCTGACGCTCGTGGGCGTCAAAAACACGACCTTCCGCGCAGGGCGCGATCTGAATGGGCTGGCCCACTCACTGGCGTCACAGCGAGGCAGTTACTAAAAAATCCCAAAAAACTACGCTGTGTCAAAGTATTCGAACTCACAACCCTACGCTAGATTGTTACGGAATCTTTCCACCTGAGATACTGCGTCATAATGATTAGTGTTCTACGTGCATTCTTAAGAACTAAACGTGCTGACAGTTCCCAACCAAAAAAGAAAAGAAATCAACCATTGAACATTTTTAGTATACATTGAACATTTTCGTGATATACAATGAACATTTCTTAAATACACATTGAACATTTTCTGACATATGATGAACAATTTGAAAAAACACATTGAACTTTTTGTGATATATACTGAACAATTTGAAAATACACATTGAACATTTTTGTGATATACACTGAACTATTTGAATATACACATTGAACATTTTGTGATATACACTAAACAATTTGAATATACACACTGGACATTCTGTAATATACGTTGAATTTTAATGCACAATGAACATTTTCTTAAGGTACTTTTAACAAATATATTTTGAACATTTTTGCAATACATGATGAACTCTTATATATAATACACTAAAATAGAAGAAACGTAAAAAACAGGGAAACACAAATTGTTCATCATATTAAAGTTTTAATGCAAAAGTACATGATAAAACATGTCCTTCAAGTATTAATGGACGAAAAAGAAAAGGAAAAAAAGAAAGAGAAGAGAAAGATAAAACCAGGGAAAAAACAGAAGGAACATGAAAGAACCAGAAAGGTAAAAAAACAAAAAGGCGACAGCAGAAACCACAACAAAACCACTATAAACCAGACAAAAGATTGAGAAAATCAAAAGCAAAAAACCACAGAAGAAAAACATAAAAAAGACAGGAAACAGTGCAGGGAACAACAACGGACGAACAAGACATGAATCCCGTACGTGGGCCGGCCCAACAGGACGCTCGCCTCAGCGAAGGCTCAACATTCCGACGCTAACGAGCGTCAAATAGGGTTTTCCCATCAATACAGCGAACAAGCAGCAAAAGACTGGACCTAGCCGTTTCTAACGCGGCCTGGTCTCAACTTCACCCCTATGCTGGACTATGCAATTTAAAGATGAGAAAATCTGACCATACGCCAATTCTACTGGATACTGAGCACTTATCGGGTGTAGCAGAGAGTTGGCCGAGGAAGGAGATGAAGTTCGACGCAAGATGGCTCGCTGAAGAATCTGTGGAGGAGATCGTTAAAACAACATGGCAGAAAGCGATGCACCTTGGTCTCTGTCTCACTGCTCGGGACAAATTGGACGTGGTACATAAAGACCTGCACGCTTGGGATCGCCGCATTCTGAAGGCGCGACGGGCTAGGATTCAGAAGGCGTAGAGTAAGCTCGAAGCGCTGATGCAAAGTCTATACACTACTGGAGTTAAGATGAAACAAAAATAGCCGCCAATACTCATTGAGAACTAAGACACGTTTGGAAAGCTAAATTTCTTTTGAAAATCAAAGTGTTTATGTGGTTTGTGCATAAACAAATTATTTTAACTAAGGATAATTTGACAAAACGCAATTGGACAAGATCTATCAGATGTAGTTTCTGTGACCAACACGAATCAATCAAACATCTCTTTCTGGATTGTCCTCTGGCAAAAATTTTGTGGCAGTCCGTTCACATAGCTTTTAACATTACTCCATCGAATTCTATCAACATGTTATTTCGGACGTGGCTTGATGGGATAGATTACGATACATCGAGACACATTCGTGTAGGAGTATGTGCTTTATTATGGGCAGTCTGGAATTGTAGAAATGATCTGGTCTTTAACAGAACAACAAATACTCACTTTTTGTAGGTTATCTTCAGAGCCACTGCGTTGATCCGTATGTGGTCGCTACTCACTCTGATGGAGGCCAGGGAGCGTTTGGTTACTAGGTCTACCCGATGGGAGATGGTAGCACGGGATATTTTCAACCGGTTTGGATGGCGGTCATGTAATAGGATAGGCATGTAGTGCTCTTATCTTTTTATGCCACCCGGTTGTGGCTTTTCCATTTTACTGTTTAGCTCTTGCTGAGCCTTTTTTCGTTCGTTATTAGAGACTTGGAGACTTATGTTGGATATTGTGCTTATTAATAATATTGGCCGTATGCATCATTCTGATGCAGAGGCTGGGGCATGCCCCCCTTTTCGAAAAAATACTCATTGAGAACTTACTCGAGCAGGATGAGATTTATTGGGCTCAAAGAGGACATGTAAATTGGCTGAAGCATGGGGACATGAATTCTTCATATTTTCGGCAGTTTGCATCAGCTAGAAGGCGCATGAACTTGATAAAAAAAGTTGAAAGATGATAGCCAAAACTGAGTAGAAGGTAATGACAACCTCAAACCCCTAGTGGGTGACTACTTTTGTAATTTGTTTACCTCCAGTTTGGGTGGACTAGACGAGGGTCTGTTAGCATCTGTTAAAACTCTTGTAACTCTCTCGCAAAAAAAACTCTTGTAACTCATGATATGTGAAAGCACAAGTGCTTCCTGGGTGATTTTGGTAATTAATGTTAACATATCTCTTGTTGGACTAGTACTCTTACCTAGCATGTTTCAGATAAATTCAACAATGGAGTGGCATGGACTAGAGGATGTGGAACCCTTCAAGATGCTAAGGACAAAGGATTGGCTCAAGCTCAAAGCACAATACTCTACATTTTACTTTTAGTGATCCAAGATCACATTGAGTCCATAGGAAAGCCAATACTATTAAGAGGGGATGAGGTGTTGCTTAATGGCTTGCTTGATCAAAGTGCTTAGTGCTATGCTCCAAAGCCCTCAAACACTTTCTCACATCCACATATGCCCCAAACCAATAGTCAAACTCGGCCCCGCCGAAACTTTCTATCCGGCGCCACCGAGTTCAATTGACATAGCCACTGCCAGAAACCCTAGTCTTTTCGGTCTCACCGATAGGGATCTCGGTCTCATCAAGATGGGATTGTAATCTCTCCGTTTCCCTTCGTAACGTTTCGGTCAAACCGAGATGAGTGATCGGTCCCACCGAGATTGCAATGCAAACTCTCTGTTTCCCATTCGTAATGTTTCGGTCCAACCGAGATGAGTGAATTGGTCCCATCGAGTTTGCCTGACCAACTCTCTGTTTGTCTACTACCAAAATCGGTCTCACCGAGTTTGTGTAATCGGTCTCACCGAGATTACGTTATGCCCTAACCCTAACGATATCGGTCCCACCGAGTTGACATGTCGGTCCCACCGAAATGCCTAACGGTCACATTATGAACTAAATCAGTTTGACCGAGTTTCAAGATTCGGTCCCACCGAGTTTGGTAAATTGTGT